GTAGAAATCTGTGCTTCGCGTATAACAATTATTGTGTAACAGAACTGCAGTTGTACGATGCTATTGTCTTTCCTTCGAAATTCGCATAAGTAACCTTAGTACCGAAATTTTTATTTACTATTTCACAATTAATCGTTTAAACAGCTATAGTTGTGCACAATGGTAAATTCATAAATTCAAAAATAACCAATTTTTCATACTTCATCTACGCGTTTATTTCCATTTTGTGTACGAATGCGAGTAGAGGAAGTATAATATAGCAATTAAGAAAATATTGTGTAGCATTACTTCACATAAAATCAAAAATTTTTTATTACATTTTATATTATATTTTATTTTATTTATTTTGTAATTTCTAGTTTAACTCGAATTTATTTACTCTTTTTTATTTCATTTAATTTAATTTTATTAAATTTTCTTATTTTAATTTGAATCAGTTTTATTTCATTTTAGCGATTTTGTAATTTCTTGTATAGCTCAAATTTAATTACTTTTTAAAATTTTTATTTCAATTAATTCAGTTTTATTCAATTTTCTTATATTAATTTGAATTAATTATATATTATTTGAGTTTACTTTGTAATTTCTTGTTTAACTCGAATTTATTTACTCTTTTTAATTTTTATTTCATTTAATTCAATTTTATTCCATTTTCTTATTATAGTTTGAATTCATTTTATTTTATTTTAGTTATTTCTCACTATGTTTAATTTCATTTTACTTGATTACGTTATTTCTATTATGTTACACTCCCCATTGCCTTCTCAATAAAGTTTTGGCTCATGAGAAATCTTAATGAATTAATTTTTCAATTTTTCATTTACATTTAGATACTAATGCAAGCCATCTCTCTCTGTGAACATGCTTTATGCATAATTTGTAAATATATTTTACAATTCACCTCCTTATCTTTCATTTCCTTATAATATCATATTATATTTATATTATTTATTTCTTTATATCTTTTATTTATTTTTTTACTTCAAAAATACGAAAGGCAGTTGTATATATAGGTAGAATTTAAAATAGACAATATATGCATTAATCGTACTCTGCTTTTCTCGAAATTGTTCCCTGGCATCTCGCGTATCAAATCGACTACAACAACCTACATATATACTACAAATATACGTACACGTAGACATTAGAATATACGTTTGGACGTTTGTCAGAACGTGCTGCTCCGCTGCTGAGGTAAATTCGTTAATTATCTCGAAGCGCATGTAAAGTGCGAAGGAACAGTTGTCTTCCATCCAGACCCGTAATATACGCACGTTCTTCTGCAAATTTTTTTCAAAAAATCGCACCTAATTCACGATCGTAAATATGCCGTCTTGTTCGTTCAACCTGGCCTCTATTCGCAATAAGCGACGAGAAATAGATAAATTTCGAGCACAACAAAGTGCTAACAGTCGTAAATTATAATAGAACAGCAGTTTGTTCGAACATATATAAGCATTGTAGGAATAACAACAGAATTTGCAACCTTACTGGTCAGACTTGACCTCCATGAATTTAATTCGAAGCACATTTTATGAACCATAAATTAAGGAAACACGAGAACAGCAAAAGGAGTTTCAGATTTCTTCTGAGAAAAGGTGCAAAAGTCGATAAACACGACGTTTACCAAGCCTTTATTCAATAATTTTAGCTACGAGACTTCTGGTAATTTTAATAAATTTTAGTAATTTTAATCATTTTAGCTAGGGGATTTACGTCATAAATACTTCTCCTTTCTCCAGTGTTATGAAAGAGATCATAATTGGAAGATAAATGATAATTAGAATTCCATTTAAGACACATTTTATTTGTTAAAATTAATTTCCTATTCTTCCAAAATTGAAATTGAAATTGAAATTGAAATTTAATATCAGTGACATTCCAGAGAATTTTGGTTCCATGATGATTACAAATACTTTGCTCTTTTTTAATATCACGAAATATGTAATAGTTGCTGGAATTAATAATATACTAATCGATTAAATAGTAATTAAAATTCACTGTCAAAATGTTAAAATTCACTGTTATAATTTTTGGTATTATCAGAAAGATTTTTGCTACCATTAATGTTGTAAATGTCTCTATTCTCTTTCAATTTTTGTAGAAAGTAACTAAAATTCAAAATTCAAAATATTCGACAATTTTTGGCATTAGTTGAGACACTTCTACTATGACATACTATTTACGTCACAAATTCCTCTCTTTTTCCCAACGTCACAAAACGAGTCATAATTATTGGAATTAACATACTATTTTTCTTAAAAAAACATGTAAAATTCGAAATTAAAAATATTCAACAATTTTTGACATTAGGTGTGATATTCCTGGTGCCATTTACGTCATGAACTTTTCTCTTTTTCCCAACGTCACGAAACGAGTCATGATTAATGGAATTAGCATACTATTTTCCTACAAAATAACTAAAATGAAAAATATTCCACTATTTTTGGCATTAGTTGAGACACTTCTGGTACCATTTACGTCACAAATTCCAGTCTTTTCCTTAACGTCACAAAACAAGCCGTAATTATTGGAATTACTATACTATTTTCCTAAAAAAAGATATCTAAAATTCGAAGTTAAAAATATTCAATTATTTTTGGCATTGAAAAATATTTTTCCCTTTTCGAACATCATGAAACGTGTCATGGTTGCCAGAATTAACAAACCTCTCTCAAAAATCATCCAAATTTTATCATTTTCGATGATCTTCAACGCGTTATCCTCGGAGAGAAAATTCCTCAAAATTCCAAAATTTCACTGAAACTACCGAACCAATTATAATAATCGATCTCAAGCTATTTATATTAGATTTATATTTACGCTGCTTTAGACGACTAATATCTGTTTTCGATCGCGCATAAACGTAATTACGTACTTCCGTCTATCTTCGTTAAACCACCTTAATGAATATTATTTATGCGTACTATAATTAGGCACACATTACATCTCGCTTGTCGTAGCGTTGAAGAGACCAGCCCGAAGCATAGCTCACAGTAAGATGATTCATTCTCGCAGCTCAAAACTGCGTCTGTTTAAACCGTGATTTACTCAGAATAGCAACGAAAGTTTGACCGGTATGAAAAGAAAGATCGAAGAAGATGGCGAATCGTGCACAATCAAAGGATCAGAGAGGACGTAGCTTAAGCTATTTAAAAATTTTATGCGTATCTATTGCTGATCTAGTTTGAAATCCAATACGCATCTGGTCCACCGTGGAGGTCTCTTAGACTATTTCGAGTGCAAGTCAGGCTTTCCCAAATTTATAAACAGAAGCGTTCGGAATAGGAGGGAGACCGGTATTGAATTAATACGAGAAGTTGGATTGAATAACTCTGTTTGCCTACCTTATTGTTCCCTGACCATCAGATTGGGTGTCAGGCGACCTGGCCATCGACATACGTTCAGCCTCGTGTGTTGCTAATTAATTTCAATCATCGAATCCCTAATCTTGCACTAAGCATCCTCAATATCGTCTCTGGAACCTATCTAGACCAGTCGAATTCACCAAAACGTATAGTTCCTTCGTGTCGAGGGCACTTTCTTCTTCGAGAGCTAGAGCTACCTAGGGTCTAGCTGTTGCTTAGCGATGCTTCTAGTCCAGTTAACAGATCACCAAGTGATTAACTCCTTCTACCACTGTCCAAGAATTTCAGAAAATTGCGTTGCCAGTTACATCGAATTACACGATGAATGGAAAAATTCAGACGATTCCAGCTTTCCTCCTAAATCAAGCGTATAATTAGTATAGCGTATAACTTTGCACATGTTCGTTTCACTTGGTATTACGTAAAGGAATTCGAGTCTTCGTTCCACGATACCGAGGACCTGCGACGTGTTTATGAAACGTACATGGGAGCTATGCAACACGCTTTGATGCATCATAGCTGATATTTAGGGCACGTTTCCAGAGAAGCACTCCTGAGAGTTCATTCAGACATGTAAATTGAGGAGCAGAATAATTCTTTTGTAAATTTCTTGATATTCTTTGTTCCATGAGATACGTAGAGTGAGATTAAAAATAGGCTTCATGCAAGATATTCGAAAACAAAAATTTAGTTATTATTAACTCTGCATTCGACGACTTTTTCGTTACAGAAAAATAGTAATTCGAAGATTTTCTGTCATAATAGAGTCGACGATATTTTTAAATTGGTGAATGAGAAATCATATGCAAATTAGGACGTAGAATTATTTTTCTTCGACATTTCGCACATCGTTAGGTAATTTTAAATTTGATATATTAATTAACGTCGATCTTTAGAATCTGATTAAATGGCGACTGAGAGTCACTTCTTGAGTGCAAAGTGTTAATTTATGCTATTTTTATTATGGAAGAAATAAAAAATATAGAAGGATATAAATTGCTTTGCTCTTTTATCTTCTTTCAGTAGGTGTATGTACATAAATTAGAGTAGAAATACTTTCTACGAAGTGTTTGATTGATGATAGATCATGCTTTTGGTTATATTTATAATGCAAAAGCGACATTCTCATCGTGAGAATTATTAATTTGAGAATAAACAGATACGAGTAGAATAGCAATTTCTCATTTTGAAGAGTGCCTATTGGAAGATCAGCCGAATTTGGTGATCCTCGTGAATTATATTAATAATATTTCCATCTTGGAAATTAGCAATTTGAGGATGAAGAGATCTCGATGATTTTCTTGAATAATATCGAATCGAATGATTAGAAAAGCAACATTCTCATTTTGGAAACCAGTAATCCAAAGATGAGAAGAACTCAAAGGTCCTCTTGGAGCATACCAAATCACAGGATTGAGAAATCAACATCCTCGCTTTAACGAATTGAGATGCAGGTTAGGGGTCTATTGCCACGAGGAGTGTTAGAAAATCGTTCAATTATGGGTACTATCGTGCAATGTTGTGCGATTAATATCCTTTACCCTTTTATAACGTGGACGAGTGGGGGCTAGCCGGCTATTATGGTAACATCGAATACAGCATTGTGCCCGAAATTACCGTCAGTTAGCACGAGTTCCGTGACGACCACCGTCCTAGCTGGTTCCTGCTGCTTCTATGTTACTGCTAAACGCTTTAACGCGCAGATTAAGGTACGCACCTGCTATCCAGATGATTCAAAGTGGTTATATAAAAAGAATTCTAAAAAGAGGAAAATTTCGCTTTGCATTTGTTGCCCGAGAGTTAGTTTAACGTGTCGTTTAACGCGCTAGGCATTGCAATTTCGATGGCGTGCAGAATATGCTCGTACCTGATCCAGTTTTCATATTTCTCGAATAAACACTTGGGAAACTCGATTTATAAGATTTCCATGATGATTTCGTTTGAATTATCTGCTGTCCTTTGGTGCAGTTACATTTCAAGCTTTATTGCTATTTTAATATGATGTAGCTATATATCGTCGTCAGATTAAAGAGAACACTAGATGCGAAGACACGTAGAGTTTAATCGAAATTTGTGTTTTGGGGACTTTTTCTAGAAATATTATTTTCATTGGGGATTTATAACATATCGTGATTATGCGATTGTATCGAATCTATTGACTGGAATATTTTTGGAGTACCTCTTGTATACTTCTATCTAAAATTAAAACTATCTAAAAATTATTGTTTTTGGTATACTTCCTTTCAATGAACAAAATTTTTAGTAACATCTAAAAAATAGAGGTGAAAATAAATTTTATAAATTTTAAATTTAATATTTAAAACAGGAATATATACTGTACATAATTTTTATAATAAAAGCAAAATATTTAATTTTTACGATGTACAGGCAACAGTTTTTCTTTATTATTGTTATCTTTAATCTAAATTCTGCAAGTGTCATTAATTGATTTCTCAAATTGTCAAAATGATTATAAATCGCAGTGTTATTAATTACATTATAATAATTATCGTAGTACTACGTACGAAAATGATACGTAAAAAGAAGAACGAACTAATTCTAGATATGAAAATCATTTATTTATTTAAATATAAACCTTCTTGGATTATTAAAATTGTTCATTTTGCGCACAGTAAATTAATAGAATAATGTATACAAAAATTAACATTCATAATTCATAATCCACGAATATATTACGTTATAAATATTATTATTAAAAACGAGAATGTACCTAACCTAATATTTGTTAAATAGAATTGAAAAAAGATCGTCAATAATATTTTGTAATTATGAAGACTATAATGACGAGTACTAATTATTTTAAATAATATCATTACTAATTACTAATTTTATTAAGATATCATATAATGTATTAATATTTCATAAATATTGCTATCGAAAATAAAAATATATTTCAGTGTAAACCAATATACATTGAAATAAGAAAAATACTTTTGATAATTTTTTATAATGATAAAGAATATAGCAATTAGCATTAATTATTTTGAATAAAGATATTAATAATTATTACTAATATTATTAATATGCCATACAATAGATCTAATTATAGTGATAATGATATATTTATCATTTATCATTAATTTACTGTATAATATATTTAATAATAATGATAACATATTTGTAATTGATCATTAATATATTATATCATTATTATCAAACGTATCATGGTGGAATCAGTATTCGTTACATATAATTGGACGCTGCTGTTGTTAATATTTTGCAACCTCATCGCAATTTGCTGTCAGAATCTTTTGATTAATTTTTCTTACACATTGCAACCCACGAAAATTTCATTTATACAATGTACCAGATTAAATTAATGTACTCGAATTCCAACTACGAATCGTTGCTACGAGGTAAATTAGCAGGTGTGTTTACAAGATCTTCTAACGAATTTTTCACGTGATACATGTTTTGCAATAATTTTGTCGTGGTTACATAATAAATTCTTTACACCCAGCGCACTTTGGCTTGCTACCAGTCTCAAAATACGTAGATTCTATCGTAATGAGCTGTAACGCGTACTATCCCCTGCTCTCAGAAATTCACCCTGTAGCATCCTCATTTATATCGAAGCACGTGAATTATATTAACGAGCATTCCTGTTTTATATCTTCGAAAAAGTCAGTTCAAATGACTTAACACGAACACGATGTAGATACCTATTATTCATTTTTGAAATAAATCGTGGTTCATTGGGTCTGAGGATATTTATCAATTTCACAAAAGAAATGTGTATAAAATACCTAAATTCTTCTTGCAAAGTTATTTTAATATTTATTATGGGAATATAAGTTAACTTTTTGTTCATTTTTGTTACTTTTATTATTTTGTTATTTTAAATTTGTACTTTGGGAAAATCATCAGTAATTGTATTGTATTATATATTATGATTAGAAGCATCTAAAGGAGGAACTAAATGGAAACAAAAATTTTTTGAATTTTTAGTCATTATGTTAACGAATATACCTATTTTATTGTTTCGAAAAAGTGAGTACTTAACAGGAACACGATATAGACTCGTCTTTCGTTCTTTTTTATTTAATTAATTATTTATTGCAAGCAATCATTCACCAAATATATATTCAATAGTTTCACGAAGAAATTCATAAATTACTTTGATTTTCTTCCCAAAACTATTTTACTATTTACTATTTACTGCAGTGATGTCTAACTATTATATTAACGAATATTTCTGTTTTATTTTTTCGAAAAAGAGAATACTTAATATGAACCTGACATAAAGACTTATGGTTCGTTCTTTTTTTTTTTTTTTTTTTCAAATCGTAGCTTATTAAATCTTATTAGGTCAAAGATATAGTTAAAATATTTCAATTTCTGATACATTGAATATTTCCAGCGATTATTTTAGATTTCAAAATTATTAAAATTATGCGTGCAGGATAAGCTGTACTGTAACGAATAAAATAAACGTGTTACGGTCAACAAAATGTATCCACCTGACTTCATTATACAGGGTGTACCAAACAACAATGGTACAATCGAGGAGGAGATGATTCTATATGAAAAAACAAATCGAAAATAAAGAATGAAATTTTTTCATTCGACGCTTCGTTTTCGAGAAAATCAACTTTGAATATTCACCGAGTGCACGTGTACTTAGCTATGGCTTAGATGTATGGACCATCAATATATGATTATCGGTGATAAAATTGAGGTGGGGTGATTCTACGTGAAAAAACAAATCGAAAATAAAGAATAAAATTTTTTCATTCGAAGCTTCGTTTTCGAGAAATTCGACTTTGAATATTCACCGAATATACGTGCACTTAACTACGTTTTAAATGGATAGATCATCAGTACATCAGCATCGGTAATATAACCAAGAAGGGAATGATTCTACATGAAAAAACAAATCGAAAATAAAGAATAAAATTTTTTCATTCGAAGCTTCGTTTTCGAGAAATTCGACTTTGAATATCCACCGAGAACGCTGGTATACTGATGGTCCATCCGCCATTAGCCAAAGTTAAGTGCATGCGCACTCGGTGAATATTCAAAGTCGAATTTCTCGAAAACGAAGCTTCGAATGAAAAAATTTTATTCTTTATTTTCGATTTGTTTTTTCGCATAGAATCACCCCAACTGAATTGTATCACCGATAATCATATATTGATAGTACACACATCTAAGCTAAGCATAGCTAAGTGTATGTGTACTCGGTGGATATTCAAAGTCGATTTTCTCGAAAACGAAGCTTCGAATGAAAAAATTTTATTCTTTATTTTAGATTTATTTTTTCATGTAGAATCATTCCCTTCTTGGCTGTACCACTGATGCTGATGTATTGATGATTTATCCATTTAAAGCGTAGTTAAGTACACGTATATTCGGTGAATATTTAAAGTCAATTTTCTCGAAAACAAAGCTTCGAATAAAAAAATTTTATTCTTTTTTTTCCCATTCGTTTCTGTATGTAGAATCACACTTTTCTTGGTTATACTACCGTTGCTGAGACATCCTGTATATTATTTAACTGATGCACGAAGGAAAAATTTGAGAACCGTTGCTCTACTTTGTGTCGTTATTTTAGTATTCGCCACTTTTACGACAACGCAATACTGTTTTTATGGTTCATTCATTGTGTATTGTCATTGACATTGGATATTATGAAACGTTCTCGAAACAATGTTGCAGGCCTCAGAGGAATACCGGGAGCACAGCACCCATAAGACACACAGAGCCAAGAAGACTAGGCAAAAACAGGAGCAACACGTTGTAAAGCAACACAGTTCCACTGTCCAAGAGAGTTCTAGTGTATCGAAGAAGAATTTCAACCTTATTCGACTGAACAACATCCCCTTACCGTCGCCAGGTGGCACTGTTACATGTAAGTTCTATAACCTTACTAGCAATTTTTATTATACTGGGTGTCCCTGACAGATATGTACAGCTGGACACCAGGTGGTTCTTCATAGAAAGATATGAGAAAAATATAGATCTTTTTTTGGAATTTACTTTTTGAGAAAATCGAAATTGAAAATTCGCTTTGCACATATTGATTTACGACTAATTAATTGTGAGATACAAACAATACAGACGTGTATCGTCTATCATGTTTGTAAATAATGTTCACGCAGTATTTATAAAATATATATATATTTTATCAACGAATATTTTATTATTTTCATTGCAAAGATTACAAAACGAATTTTCAAATTCGATTTTCTCGAATATTACTGATATATCGATACTCGATATATATTTTTTGTATAAATTTTTTATATTTTATGATTTTTTTTATGATTTTTTTACGATCCCGAATTGTACATATCTTTCAGGGTCACCCTATATATACTTTCCGGAATTGTTTTTCTTTTTTTATCTTATGAATAATTTTAAATTGGTAGGTCTTGATTTAAAGTTGGTTTTGTATAGGGTGTCTCATTTATTTTATATCCTCTAACGCCTTCGTTACATTTGTCAATAGGAAAAACTGTTTCATGATAAAAAATTTGGGTCAAAGTAAGAATATAATATTTAATTTTTCTTTCAAGGTCAAGATGACCTTGAAAACGAAACACATTGTATATCCCGTGAAGTTAGTTTAGTTTTAGGTTAACACTAGAACATCCAATCTGTAATATGTGTTAATGTATATAGTATAACTAAATAGTAATAGTCGAAGCAGTCTGATGAAATGAAAAATGTTGGCCTAGATCGTAAAATGAATTATAAAATCATTTAGAAATTTCAAATAATTTGAAGTTCCTTGTCATCTGGTGACTTTATTATACTAGTATTATACTAGTATCCTTTTTCTTATACCTGAAGTAGACAAGTCCAAATGATATATTCGTCAAATAATGTTGTAAGTTAATAAAATTAAATTAATATAATATAATATAATTAAATACAAAATCAGTGTAATATAATAGAAAAAAATAGGTGCTTACAAAAATGTATTTTTCTAGTATCTTGGATTCTTAGTAACTTCCTAGTAATTTCGTAGCAATTTTCTATTAATTCTACCATGTACTTTACTTTTGGAAATAATTTTTTACCGTTTATGTTCAAAATGCAATCAGTTTCAGTATCGTTTTTATGAAAATCGAAGTAATGCTACGTTTAATTTCAAAACTTGTTAATTGTACGAATCAAATTAAATTTTAACTTAAGAAACTTAGTGATATTCTAGTTACTAAGTAAAGTTAGTGATATTCTAGTTACTTTGTCGTATATCTTTAAAATGCAATTAGTTTCAATATCGTTTCTATTAAAATTCAAATACCTAAATTGTCAAATTATCTATTTTAAGAACATAGTTATACGAATGGAAATAATTCCAATTGAATTTAACTTAAAGTAACTTAATTCAACACTTAGTTTAGAATTACCAAGGAAGCCAAAATGACTCATATCAGACTTTTTACTCTCGTATTTGCTGAAACTCTGCAACTTCCCTTGTCAAAGATAATAATGACTTGATTCACATAGAATCGTAATTACATATACTTCAATTAATATCATCTATGTACACTACATTTAGATTCGCATTACAGTGTTACATTACATTGCAGCCAGTAGTTCTACTGTTAATATAATATAAATTTCTCCCCAAACTTCTGGTAACTTCTTAGTAACTTTTGTGTCTTAACTTCCTAGTTACTTCTCAGTAACTCCATCTACTGTATCAACATTTTTCAACATTCTCTTCGACATTTCAACAAAAATTCAAATATCAATGTACTGTTTAATTTAGAAATCTAATTCTTTAACGAAATAGACTTCGTCGCATAAACTTATAGAAGATGGCTTCTAGCGCAGTTTCTTGGTGCATTACGTGGCATGTTTGAGCAAAGTTGCAACACTCTTCGTAGTTAACGATTCGCGTGTTCATTTAAACGAGATAGACGAAACGATAAATCCGACATTTCTCGCACCAGGTGTATCTTGCTCTTGCTCGTACATTCACATTTACATTGACATTTACATTTACACCAAAAATATATATAGATAGATATAGACGAAGAGATGAAGAAGGAGGAAGAGATTGAGAGAGAGAGAGAGAGAAAGAGAAAATACGAGAGAAGGTGAGGGAGAAGTAGAGAGAGAAAAAGGTATGTCGACGGCTGTGTCGGAAGCGAGGCGGTGATATTAATACTGGATGATTAAGTGGCTCCGGATGTGCGGATTCGTCATTGGCCCAAAAATCGAAGCCCGAGTTTCAAAATCGCTAACTAGGGCGATGGAAATCTTGGAAAGTCGATCTTTCTCCATTATCTCCGATTTTATTCCAGTTGTATTGGTTCTGCAATTATAATAGGTGATATAGATGAAAATATTCGAAAATTAAACTATAATTAAAAATAACAATGTTAATAGAAAAATAATATCGTTATGTAAACTATCATTAAAAATGAATTTTTCGAACGCAGATTAAATTAAAATTATATTCGATTTAGTCATGGAGATAACCTGATGATATTGAAAATGATTTAGATTTTGATTAATTTACCAACTTAATTACGTGAAAATTTTTGAGCAATTCGAAAATTTTAGAAATGGAATAATGACTGTCGAAACAAAGAAAATTTGGTAAAAACTGTTGCATTGCATTTGGTTTGCATTTTTTTGAAACTTTTATTTATTTTCTTTTTTTGGGGGTCTGTATTACAAAAATAAAAGACAATGGAAAACAATATAGTAAATATAGTGTAGTTTGGTTTATAGTAGTATATGTATACTACTTATATATAGTATAGTTATTAAATAAATTAAAGTAACGAAGAATTAATAATATTACTAAAATTTATGTAAATAATGATATTTTTTTATTATGCTGCAAATCGTAAATGAAAATTGAGAATAATAATAATTGTTGATAAAATTGTAAGATACTTATAGAAAAGAAAAAATTCGGGAATAATAGAATTTCGTTAATTTAGTACAAATTGTCTGATTTAATTTATTAGATCAATATATTAAATAGAATTTCTTTCTTCACTTTAATACTTAAAAAATTTTACATATAACCGAACATTTTTTCTAAATTTCGTGTTTCCATAAAATAATATCAATTCATAAATTACTTTAATTTTGAAAAGAATAGTATTTTATGTTTTTATTCAGTTTTAAATTGTACTCTAGAAACATTCTTTGTACAGAAGCATTTTTTTAAATAACAAATGACGGCAGTTATTAGTTATTGTTATTAAAAAAAAGAAAAATTGAAAATTGTTTTAAAATAAATTATACAGAGATGCTCTAATTTAAAAATTAATATATAACTTATCTCATAAGAAATAAATAGTTTTATAGTAACGTACAATTTTGACATTGATATATTTTGGCAAGTAATACATTTTCGTGCAAACATTTTGATACGTATTTTTGATACATGGCGAGCAATATTACTTTTCTACTACTGTTTGATATATTTTGTTATTTCTTAATTAGATTAATGACAAACAATTATATTGAATTATATTGAATTTAAAATTATACTGAATTTTATTAATATATTTTATTATTAAATATGTATATAGTTTCGAAAAGTATTGGAAAGTAATACAAATCGTCTATAAAAATTTAATATAATAAACATTGATAAAAACGTGATATGATACAAAGAACTATAATAAATTTTATAACAAATTAATATAGAATAGTATTTCCCTTAGAACTGCCTTGTATCTTACACTACAGCATGAATAAGTAATTTAGTCTTGTTATTATTATATCGGTATATAATATTTAACAAACTCCTCAAATTATAATGAAATTCAATTTATCTAGTCACACATAAATTTAAAAAATATAAAATAAAATTTATTTCATATATTATCCAGATACATATCTAGATACGTTTTGTTCAAATTTCATTACTCCAAGAGCATTGTTTCTCTAACACTAAACTACCACACTAGTCAAAATGATTATTTTCAGAATCTTTATTTTTGTAGTTATACAAATAGCAATTACTTTAAAAGAAGTTAATGTTGATTTTTATAAAGAAAGAAACCTAGTTATATATATACATATATATACATATTTATTTTCATTATACCACTTCAATTAATATTTTCTATATATATTGCATTTACTTATACATTACCAATCGGTAATTGTAGCATTTAATAAATAAATAAATTAATGAATTAATTCGAAACACATACCGATGCGTCAAAACGTAGCAAGAATGAAATACTCGTTCCATGAACAATTACATTCGTGATCGATGTGTTGACATCGTTAATCGCGAGAGTATTAAGTCAAGCAACCAATTCGTTCTCCATCGGTCACGTTATTCCTCTCTCTCCTCGTTGTCGATATCTTTGCGACGATTTAAGCAATTTAGGTGCACATGAATAACGTAACGTCGCGTAAATTCGTCGTATCACGGTTGTTTGCAATTAATCAAGTAGCCCGAGCTCCGATTTCTCGTATTACTCGTGTTACTCGTATTACCCTTGGCACGCGTTTAACGCGCACGAATCAGCCGATTCCGATCCCCCTTCGCTAGGTACAACTTCCTGCGCTAGATGGAAACACCGATCAGTCGTGGAAGGGAAGGCAGGATGGAGGTTATGCGCCAAATTCCACTCTCTTCTATCTTAAGAATTCCGGGATTCTTTCCACATAATAAAGAATTATGTAACCGTCTGGGTGAATTATCCGAGTTGGTTTGAGGATTTCAAAATATCAAAATAAAGCAAAGCATGTCGAATCGTATAAATCGTATGGATAATACCACGTGAACGGATACAAGTGGACCGGGTAACGAGTAACGAAATCCATCAGTGTTGACAGTAGATCTACTGTGTACATAACCTATCGAACCCTAAAAATATAATATCGACTCACTCGAAAGAATTTTGTAAACTGTCT